AAGAACGTACAATGGGGAAAGGACAGTCTCTTCAATAAATGGTGTTTGGAAAACTGGATATTCATGTGCAGAAGAATAAAACTAGATTCCTATCTCTCACCATATACAAAAATCAAATCAAAAGAGATCAAAGACCTAAACCTAAGACCTCAAACTATAAAAACTACTACAGGAAATATCGGGGAAACTCTCCAGGACTTTGGACTGGGCAAAGATTTCTTGAGAAATACCCCATAAGCACAGGCAACCAAAGCAAAAATGGACAAATAAAATCACGTCAAGTTAAAAAAGCTTCTGCACAGTGAAGACACCAATCAACAAAGTTTAGAGACAACCCACAGAATGGGAGAAAATATTTGCAAACTCTCTATCTGACAAAGGATTAATAACCACAATATATAAGTAGCTCAAACAACTCTGTAGGAAAAAAAATTAATAATCTGATTTTAAAATAGGCAAAAGACACTTCTCAAAAACAGACGTGCAAATGGAAAACAGACATATGAAAAGGTGCTCAACATTACTGATCATCAGAGAAATGCATATCAAAACTACAATGAGATATTATCTTACCCCACTTTAAATGGCTTATATCCAAAAGACAGGCAATAACAAATGCTGGCAAGGATATGGAGAAAAGGGAACTCTTGTAGACTGTTGGTGGGAATGTAAATTAGTACAACTACTGTGAAAAACCGTTTTGAGCCTCCTCAAAAAACTAAAAATAGAGCTACCATGTGATCCATCAATCCCACTCCTAGGTATATACTCAAAAGAAAGGAACTCAGCATATAAAATAGATAGCCGTGCTCCCATTTTTACTGCAGCACTATTTACAACAGCCACCGTTTGGAAACAACCTAAGTGTCCACAAACAAATAAACGGATAAAGACAATGTCAACCTAAGTGTTCACGACAAATAAATGGATAAAGACAACGTGGTATATATACACTATGAAGTACTATCCAGCCATAAAAAAGAATTAGATCCAGTCATTTGCAACAACATGAATGGAACTAGAGGACATTATATTAAGTGAAATAGGCCAGTCACAGAAGGACAAACTTTACATATTTTCACTTACATGTGGAAGCTAAAAATTAAAATAAATGGACTGATTGAGATTCATTGAAAGTAGAGGGTAGAATGATGGTTACCAGAGGCTAGGAAGGGTAGTGGGGATTGGCAAGGAAGCTGCCAACCATGTAAAGCTACTTACTTGCTTTCTAGTTATTTTTAAATTCATTAAATACTAATTCATGATGAATTAGTACAAAAAAATCAAATAAACAAGACCTAGTATTTGCTAGCAAATACAACAGGATGACTACAGTAAAAAATAATTTAATTGTACATTTTAAAATAACTAAAAGAGTATAAGTGGATTATTTGTAACACAAAGGGTAAATGCTTAAGGTGATGGATACCCCATTTACCCTGATGTGATTATTACACATTGCATGCCAGCATCAAAATATCTCATGTAACCCATAAATAGATACACTTACTATGTACCCACTAAAATTAAAAATGAAAAATTGATTTAAAAAAAGAACTACCATGTGATCCAGTAATTCCAGTATTGGATGTATATACAAAAGATAGGAAATCAGTATGTCAAAGAGGTATGCACTTCCATATTCGTTGCAGCATTTTTCACAATAGCCAAGATACCGATGCAACCTGAATGCCCATCAATGAATGAATGGATAAAGGAAATGTAGTACATATACACAATAAAATACCACTCCACCTTTATAAAAAAGGAAATCCTGTCATTTACAACAATATGGATGAATCTGGAGAGTACTGTGTTAAGCCAAGCACAGAAAGACAAATACTGCATGATCCCACTTACATGTGGAATCTTAAAAACTTGAACTTATGGAAACAGAGTAAAATGTTGGTTAGCAGAATCTGAGTTACAAATTTTGAATTGAGTATATACGTAGTTTTATATTCAGCCTTTTTCCCTTAACACTTTAAGCATTTCCACAAGACGATATTCTTCAAAAGATGTTTTAATGGTGCATTATTTAAAAATCCCATAATTTATTTAACTATTTCTCTATATATGAGCTTTTGAGTTACTCCCAATTTTATACTACAGTAAATTGCCTCACTCTGTAGCTCTCTGGCAGTTTTTCCTATGATTGATTCCCTAAATTTGGAAGGTTGAGGTGGAGGGCATGAACTTTATTAGGACAGATAGAATCTCAATACAATGTAAAGACAATGTCACTTGCCATTCTAGGAATTAAAGAAGATACTAATAAAACAATGATCATTAGCTCCCAACCCAGACTACCCTTCTTGGGCCTAAAGGGCTTCCAGCACTTTCAACCTGTCCTTCAAGGACTCATTTCTATCCATTTCCTTTTCTCATACTCTCCAAAATCTTCACACTATCTGTAGCAGGATGAGCCTCAGACAAAACCTCTCAGACACCATTATATAAGGAAGGGCTTTATTCAGCTGGGAGCATCGGCAAGCTACTGCCTTAAAATCCAAGCTCCCCAAGTGCACAATTTCTGTCCCTTTTAAGGGCTCACAACACTAAAGATTTCACATGAAAGGGTCGTGATTGATTAAGCAATCTAGGGGATACGTGACAGGGGTTTCATGCACCGGTGGTCAGAGAGAAACAGAACAGGGCAGGGAGTTTCACAGTGTTCTTCCATACAATGTCTGGAATCTATGAATAATACCAGTTTCTAAGTTATGAGTTGATTTTTATCTACTGGGTTTAGGCCAGGCAGGCCCAGGCCTGGTTTTGGGCCTGGCGCCGGGCTGCCTGTCTTTGGTTTTACTTCCTTGTTTTTTTCTTAAAACAGGTACTGAGTATAAAACAAAATAAAACAATATGAGAGGGTATCCTCTTTCCTCATATCCTTAAACCATAAACATCCCCTTGAACCTTGTAGTCTGTGGATACCTGAACAAGACTGAGTATAGCACAAAAAAAGATTTCCCGCTTCTTATCCCTCAGGCTGCCACCATCATTGTGGAGATGGTGTGGGTCAGGCACTGTTGATGAGCTTCACCGACTATCCTAGTTCACACTTATCACAATTCTTAAAGATAACGAACAACATCCTCACTACACAAATGAAGAAAAGGAAACTCCAGAAGTTTAGCTTTAAATGACTTGCTCTAGGTGAGACATAGCAAGTACCATATAACAGGAATTGAAAGCAAATCTGCCTGATTCCAAAACCAATGCTCATTTGCTACACCCTTCTACTGTCTCCAGTCTCACACCACTGAAAAACTTTAGAGACATGAACATTGGACTTGACTTTACACAAACGAGTCAGCATCAACAAAAAGGTGAAGGTTAGATCAAGTGCTGTGATTCTAAGCTGGAAAAATAGAAATATCCGCCCCCCCCCCGCCCCATCAATTTCACTGATATTGATGACTTTAATGATGAATTCGTATTTGATGGATTTAAGACTAGCTAGAAAGCAAGTAAGTTGTTTTACATCTTTACTAATTCCCTTCACTACTTTTCCTGGGAAATGGTGGGGGATTGAGATTCACATTACACTGAATTTGTCCTCTCACCAGTTTTCAAATACATTGTCTTGAAATACAAAAGGAATCGGTAATGCAATTTAGAAACATTTCTACCTTAAAAGATTAAAATGTAAAAAGTCTTCTAAAAGCCTCTTAAGCTTCAGGTATTCAAAGAACTCATTTACATGAAAAAGCTCATTGCTGGGTGGGTCTAGGTTTTGGAGAAAGTGTTCTAAGACTACCGCTTCAGTGAAAATACACTCTCGGATTGCTCTAATTTGCAAAAAGTTAGTGTGGCATCAGGGACCACACGCCAGAGCAGCCCATTCCCTGGTCTGTAAACTCTGACACCTCTACTCTAAGTACACATCCTTTGCTGCAGTCTTATGCCTTCAACAGCCCCCTGTCATGGTCTGGGCGTCCATCTAGCAAGCCTCTAAAGAATAAATACGTGTGAAAGTAGTTTCTGAGCTTTAACTTGACCACAAGTAGAGAGACCAGTAACCACAGCAGTGTAACATTTGCTTGTACTTATTGAATACTTGCTGTGTGCCGGGACTTATGCAGAGCACTTTAAATGCCTCATCTCACTTAATCCACTCAACATCACTTCGAGGAAGCTACTATGATTGTCTCTATTTTTCAGATGAGGGACATGAGGATTCAAATGACTGAGTGACTGGGTCAAATTCACACAGCGGTAAGGGTTAGAGCAGGAAATGTAACCCAGTGTCCAGGACGTTAACGCTATCCTCTTAGTCGCCATACAATACTCCTGACCAAGGAAGTGGGACCACCTGATCACCAAGAGGCCATGTTCTCAGCAACTAATGAGTAATGGTTAAGAAAATGGTTAAGGAGAAGAATTCCAGTGATACCTCGGCAATCAGAAGAAAAAAAAAAAAATCAAGTCAGATGTCAAACTCCCACTTGATGCATTTGAAAGCAGGATCCTGAGAAACACTCAGATACTGTGCAGCAGGACTTCCATGTGGGCATTGAGAACAGAACAGGGAGAACAAAACAGAACAGAACAAAACAAGGGAAGACATCTGTTGTCTACAAGGTTCCCTGTTCAGTTCAGGTTTATTCTAGACAGTCAAGACCAAGCCTACATGAGAACTGACCTTAGTGAGCTCCACCCTTCTCCAGTAAGCAGCCAAAGTCAAGAAGCCTGACCAGAGAACTAGAAAGTTGCAGTGAATTTTTAAGCACAGAGGGTTCAAGGAAGCTCATGTGGTATCACCCCAGCCAAAGCCATCACTAAACTTGAGTGCCACTACTTTAGGAGTTATAGCACATTCGTTTTTAGTAAAAGTACCTTGAGGCTTGCTAATGAGACCCCAGGGGCATTGCATTCCAATTAGAGGAGTGGGCCATGAAGACACCATACCCCCTTGTCACATTTACTTAGTGGTTCAGACTAACTTTGGAAGCTATGAAAGCCACTGTTTTTATTTTTGCTTTAGGCTCCTGTACTCAGTCATCACAAACTCATTCATTCTGCATGTAGTTAATAAGCAACTACAATAGGGCATGGTTTTGTGCCATCTATTTGGGGAAATAGCTGGTACTAAGCATGAAGTCATCTGGGTTTTCTTGCGAGTAGCAGGGACAAGTTTGAACTAAACTAGCCCCTTGACTACCACCTTACGTGTACATAGCATTTTGAAGCGTTTTCACCCTGCGAGGTAGGTAAGACAAACAAGGAGTTATATAACATGGGGCTTAAAAACATGGGCCAGGGATTCAACCTGCCTTGTTTAAAGGCTGACTCTCCTATTTGCTAGATATATAACCTTCAACAGTGACTTAATTTCTCTTGATGTCATTTCTTCATCTGCAATTTTTTCTTTCTCAGGTTTAAAGAAATCAATAAACATTTCCACAATCGTAGTTGGAGAAATTAACTCTGTCAGAGGCGTTTGAACCAGAGCAACTCCATCTTGAATAGGGGATGAGTAGAATGAGGCTGAGATCTACTGGGCTGCCTTCCCAGGAGGTTAGGCACTCTAAGTCACAGGATGAGATAGGAAGTCAGCAAAAGATACAGGTCATAAAGACCTTGTTAACAAAACAAGTTGTGGTGAAGAAGCCCTCCAAATTCCACCAAAACCAAGATGGCAATGAAAGTGATCTCTGGTCATCCTCACTGCTCATTATGTGCTAATTACAATGTATTAGCATTCTAAAAGACACTCCCACAAAGCCATGACAGTTTACAAATGCCATGGCAACATCAATAAGTTACCCTGTATGGTCTAAAAGGGGAAGAACCCTCAGTTCCAAGAATTGCCCACTCCCTTCCCAGAAAACTCACTAATAATCCATACCTTGTTTAGCATATAATCAAGAAATAACTACAAGTACCCTTAGTTCCGTAGCGCAAGCTGCTGTTCTGCCTATGGAGTAGCCATTCGTTATTCCTTTACTTTCTTTATAAACTTGATTTCACTTTAGTCTATGGAATAGCCCTGAATTCTTTCTTGTGCAATATCCGAGAACGTTCTCTTGGGGTCCAGAATGGTACCCCTTTGCAGTAACAACTCCACTGCCTCAGAAAGTGGTAGTATGATTAGAACAAGAAAATCTGTAGAAACATAAAAGATCTGAGCAATATATCACCCACCCTAACCAAATTGATATTTATAGAACACTATACCCTATAACTGAAAAATACACATTCTTTTCCAGCACACATTGTAGATTCACTAAGATAGACCTTAGGTTTGGCTATGAAACAGGTTTTAACAAATGTAAAAGGAATGGCATTATTCAGAATACTCTCTAACCACAACGGAATTAAACTAGGATTCAATAACAACAAGATATCAAGGAAAAATCCCAAATAATTGAAAATTAAACAACATAGTTTTAAATAATCCATTAGTTAAAGGAGACATCATTGAAAATGAGATTATGTTTTAAACTGAATGATAAAAATACTTGTGAAATTTCGTGGGATGCAGCTAAAGTATTGTTTTTTTAAGTTTATAGTTTAAAACTCTTTAATTATTATTTTTTATTTTTGTGGGTACATAGTAGATAGATATATTTATGGGGTACATGAGATGTTTTGATTCAGGCATGCAAAGTGAAACAAGCACATCATGGAGAATGGGATACCCATCCCCTCAAGCATTTATCCTTTGAGTTACAAACAATCCAATTACACTCTTTAAGTTATTTTAAAATATACAATTAAGTTATTATTGACTATAGTAACCCTGTTGTGCTATCAAATAGTAGGTCTCATTTATTCTACTTTTTTCCCCCATTGACCATCCCCACCTCCCCCTCATTCTCCCACTACCCTTTCCAGCCTCTGGTAACCATCCTTCTACTCTCTATGTCCGTGAGTCCAATTGTTTGGATTTTTAGATCCCACAAATAAGTCATAACATGTGATGTCTGTCTTTCCATGTCTGGATTATTTCACTTAGCCTAATGATCTCCAGTTCCATCCCAGTTTTAAATTCTTATATTAGAAAGGAAGTAAGGTCTAAAATCAACGAGCTAAGTTTTTACCTGACTCCTCATACAATCTAGAGGGAAGGATATAGGAAAGATAACAGATATTAATCAGAGAAAACAAAAACAGAAAAATTTTAGACGAAGTGAAACAATGGTCCTTTGCAAATATTAACAAAACAAATGAAATGGAAAAGAAAAAAGCACAAATTTTTAATACTGGGAAGGCAAAAGGATATCACTACAATTCTGTAGAAAATAAAGGATAATGAGAGAATATTATGAACAACTTAAGTTTTCAATATCAATGTCATATGATGATCTAAAGTTATCAATGTCATATTTTTAAAAGGATTTATAAGATTGTATATAGAATAAAAGATTTAAAATACAAATGACTTTCGGGTGCACTAAAGTTTCTAAGAGTTTCCTACCATTTAAAAGGAAGGTGTGGGCTAGACTCCCTGATGGTGCAGATGTGGGATGATTAAAAAAGGAGCATGACTTCCAGAATCAGACAATGTGAATTCAAATCCTCACTCTACCTACTCTGTGATTTTAGACAACATTTTCTGAGTAAATTCTCCATGTAAAATAGGGGCAATAACACCCCCTCCTATACCTACATGTCATAATGCCCTACAAATGATAAATGCAACTATGTCAGCTCTAACCATATATATGATTACAAGAAGCCAAGAGGCCAACAGACTGAGAAAAGGAAAAGGTTAAACAATAAGAGGCAGAAGGAGGGAAAACAGGGAGTTAAAGGGGGGAACAAGCGTGAACAGGAGAGATTTTTATAATAGGAAACAAAATGTTAATGATACATGGAAAATAAAACCAGTGCCTACAAAGTCGATATTATCATCCAGTGCCTTCCATTTGCTTAAAATCTCCCTGTGGTTCTTTTGGATTCTTGAGAACCCTGAGTCTAATGCTAGTATGAGCTCATGCAAATCTCTTGACAAGAGTCAACGTCTTCCATTCTCAGGACTAAACCCTTCTCAGTCAGCTTGCCTGCCCAAAACCCTCTCAGCAAAACCTCAGTATGTCAAGTCAAGAGACTTTCCAATCATGTGAATGTTCAAACTGGTAGGACATATTGACTACTGCTCCCCAAGACAGTCATTCTCAACCCCTACGTCCCTCTTCACCATTCCCAGGCTGACCTGGTTTTCTGGAAGAGTTTATTCTCTCTAGACCAGCCAATCTGTCTCGAGACCACTGTCAGATTTGGAAACACAGTACGAGAAGACCCCTCTTACTCCATCCTAGAGACCCCTTCGATCTTGTCCAACCCCATAAGATGAGGAAACTGAAACTTCAAAAAAGAAGGTAACTGGCCCAAGGCCACTCTTTCCATTGGGCAAGGTAGATGCAGAGTGAGATCTTAGGTGCCCCAATTTCCTCTCCCCTGCTCCTCCTATTTTCCCTAACTAAATCATCTACTTCTCTTCCCAAATTACTTTTCTCCCAACGAGTCTCCTCATGGCGTTTTTCACTTCAGCATTCCTAAAGGAGTAAATGACGGGGTTTAAGAGAGGTGTGACCACCGTGTAAAATACGGCGACTATCTTATCTGCAGGGAGGGTGACACAGGGCCTCATGCAGACAAAGGAGCAAGGGCATGAAGAACAGGCCCACAACTGTGACATGAGAGGCACAGGTGGAGAGTTCCCTGCGCCGCGCCTCCGAGTTGTGGCTCCTCAGGGAGTGCAGGATGATCAGGTAGGAAGCTATCCGCACCGAGAAGCTGACCACAGAGATGGAGCCGCCATCATCCGGCGGAAAGAGGAAAGTTACTTTCCTCTTGATGAGTGGCACATATACAACATGGAATACTATGCAGCCATAAAAAAGGATGAGTTTGTGTCCTTTGTAGGGACATGGATGCAGCTGGAAACCATCATTCTTAGCAAACTATCACAAGAACAGAAAACCAAACACTGCATGTTCTCACTCATAGGTGGGAACTGAACAATGAGATCACTTGGACTCGGGAAGGGGAACATCACACACCGGGGCCTATCATGGGGAGGGGGGAGGGGGGAGGGATTGCATTGGGAGTTATACCTGATGTAAATGACGAGTTGATGGGTGCTGACGAGTTGATGGGTGCAGCACAGCAACATGGCACAAGTATACATATGTAACAAACCTGCACGTTATGCACATGTACCCTAGAACTTAAAGTATAATAATAATAAAAATAAATTAAAAAAAAAAAAGAAGAGTCGAAGATAAGCTTGGGGGTGCCGTGACAGAACAGTAAGCTAATGAGGAAGGAGTCTGCGCAGGCCAGCTCCAGCACTGGGTGGACATCACAGAAGCAGTGGTCGATGATGTTGGGGCCACAGAAGGGGAGCTGGCAAATGAGGAAGGTTTACCCAACAGAATGCAGCAGGCTCCCACCCCATGCTACCCCCACCAGGAGGCTACGCATTTGCTGGTTCATGATGGCAGTGTAGTGCAAGGGCTTGCAGATGGCCATATAGCGGTCGTAGGCCATCACCATCAGGAGAAAGATCTCAGCGCCACCAAAGAAATGGAGGAAAAATATCTGGGTGATGCAGCCGTTGAGAGAAATTACTTTCCTCTTGATAAAAGAGTCAAAGATAAGCTTGGGGGCCGCGAAGGAACAATAACAGATCTCCACAAAGGATACGTAGCTGAGCAAGAAATACACGGGGGAGGTGAGCCCTTTGCTGGCCAGGATGTTCACCACAATGAGGCCATTGCCCGGCACAACGGCTGTGCACATGAGGAGAAACATCACAGAAACGACCCTCTGCTCATTCCGATTCTGGGAAAATCCCAGGAAAATTATTTCAGTCACATTTTTTATAACAGTCATAGTTTAAAGCACAGGAGCCGACAGCCTGGAATCACAGAAATCAAAGAGCTCTCCTCAATCATTAGAAACATCCTTGCCAGGCCTGAGGACGATCATCATTCTGCTCCCTCTTGAGTTTGTTCTCTCCCTCGGTTTTCCCCAAAACATGTTCTGAGACAAGTGAACAAAATAGCA